TACAACAAGGAGACGATTGCAATGAATATTTCAGTGGTATTATATGTTACAATATAATTATAGAAAAGAAAAACAACTTTCATATAAGTTTCAGTTTTCCCAAAAGAACTGATGCAACCAACATACAATGTTGTTCTTTTGTTTTATTTTTTTAGGTGAACCAGCCGACTACATCAATGTAGATGATTCAGACAATGACTCCATATCTGGAAAAAGGCCAGTAACACTTTATGATTTTGAGCTGGCATAGAACTTCTCATAGATTATTAAGTTCGGCAAGGTTAATGAAGATGAAACAACCATTGTGCATCAAGGAAGAACAAGGGTTCTTGGAAGGCACATACAATTTATGAATTTCCAATTGAAACTACATAATAATTGTACTTGCTATGTCTTTAAATAGGAGGAAGGCGCTTTATACTTTAAAAGATAACCAGCTCAAGTCGTGATTTGATCTTAGAGTGGAGAAAGTTGATAAAAATAACTGGTTTTATACTTTGGCACATTCCGGGCAAGTCCTCAACAATACGATACACACATACCCTGGCAGAATTTAATGTTTAGCTGTAGTGTTCTGTTATTTTAATATATCTGTAGATTTTTTGTTTGAAAATTGTAGTTAAATTGTATGAAGTATTGAGAAATAATGAAATCTATTTTTTGCAGTACATTGATGTTATTTTATACTATTGTAGTTAAAACATAAAACACGATTTACAACCACTGACTGTATGTTCAAGACTAGAATTAAACAAATTTATGAGAGGTACATTAATGCTTCTGGCGATAAGAAACTTGTTGTTGTCAAACCCCAGGACGTCGTATCAGAATACATATTGGGGTACCAATTACTTGCAAATATTGCATGGGACAACGTTGATTTTGTGATTATTCCCATAAACATTGTGGAAAAATTTTATTAGTTGTTGGTTGTGTTTGACATTACCGATAGGGTTCTATATGTTTATGATTTTATGGTCTCATCACGAAATCACAAACTTATTGAATCTGTTGTCGACAAGTTTGCTATTATGATCCCCCTCTATTTGTCATGCACCGGCTTCTATGGCAAGCGTCCAGACATCAACTACAAGAACACAAAGTCATACATTGAAAAAGGTGTTACTAACCCTCTTGACATTCAGTGGTTGGTCGGTGAGATACCCTAGCAAAAAGAGGGATTACTGTATGTGCTGCTTTTCCTTCTATCTATTTAACCAATTGTATTTTACATTGAATGCTAAATCTTTTCCCCTATTATTTTTTGCAGTGACTGAGGTGTATACGTGGCGGCATTTGCAGAATATATCAGTGTCACGACCCAAAATCTAACCATGGTCGTGATGGCGCCTATCGTGTTACAAGGCAAGCCTATTTCCCAAAATATTACTACTAAATTGATTATAAGAATTTAAGAAAATATTTGAATTTTTTCAGAAACTAAATCAACTCTAAATATAATTATAGAAAATACGGAAACGAGCCCCAAATATCGGGATGTCACTAAGTCATGAGTGTCTAAATCTATGAAATAAGAAATAAAACTGTCTAACTGTCAATACAGTCCAAAAGAAGAAATGATCAAATGAGTAACAAGGTTCTGCGGACGCTAGCAACTACCTTGCAGTCTCCAATGATAGTCGGCCTGAACTTAACGATCGTCGCGCTCTAACTCACCAGGATCTGCACATAAAGTACATGGTGTAGCATGAGTACAACCGACCTAGTAGTAACAGAAATAACTAAGGAACTAAACAGTAGTGACGAGTTAAGCAGAAAAATGCAATTATTATTTTCACAATTAAGTACAAACAGGAGTAGACAAGTAATTTCATAAATCAGTAAGACTATAGAAAAATTAATAGGTAAATGCAGAAACATCAAAAGTAAATGCAACCTCACAGCAATGTCACTCCATCACTCAGCACTCGCACTCAGCATTCAACGCTCAATACTTTGCGCTCACTGTGAGTGTGTACAAACTCCGGAGGGGCTCCCAAAGTCCAAGCACTAAGCACGGACAACTCACGTGCCATCATATCAATACCTGGATCCGCACAGTCAATTCACGTGCTACGCGGATAACTCATGCGCTACGGTATCAATACCTGGATCCGCACGGTCAACTCACGTGCTACGAGGACAACTCACGCGCTATGGTATTAATACCCTCACAACCAGGCCATCGGCATCACTCAATCATGTACCTCACTAGCCTCACCATCGTCAACAAATAAGGGAATACAGCCCACATCAAGTATCACAGCATATTAGCAAATAATAGAGACGGAGGTAAACATGTACAATAATTTCTATGACTGAGTACAAATAATGTGAGCATGAATAAAGCCTAAGCATGATCTCTAATATGAAGGCAGACAAGTTCAACAACAAGTAATTACGTAAATATAGATGATGGCCATGAGGCCTCACGGGATGGACCAAGTCTCAATCCCTAGAGGTATACACCCACACGCCTGTCACCTAGCATGGGTATCACCTCCAAACAGTCACACGATATCAAATTTTCCGGGTTTATACCCTCAAAGCCAGAGTTAAAACTGTTACTTACCTTAACAGCGTAAATTCCTACTCCGAGATGCCCTCGTCTCTGAACTCGGTCTCCAAAAGCTCTGAATCTAACCAAAAATCAGAATACTACTATCAACAAAGTCTAAAAAATCAAATTCCACAATAAAATACATAAATATGCCAAAAATCCAAAATCGACCAAAACCCGGCCCCCAGACCCATGTCTCAAAATCAGTCAAAAATGGAAGAATACAAAACCTCGTCTTCTCCCAAGTCTAACCATATAAAATTCATCAAAATCGGACTCCGTTTGGTCCCTCAAATCCTCACTTAAACTCTCCAAAACTCAAACTCTAACTCCCTCAATTTCACTTTGAAATCATCAATCAAATCCTAAAAACAAAGATGGATTCATACAATATAACCAAAACTGAGTAGAGAACACTTACCCGGTGAAAATCGCCTCCAAAATCGCCCAAATCCGAGCTCCCCAACTTAAATATGACCGAATGAACAAACCTTTATTTTATATATTTTTCTGCCAGCTATTCTGCCTTGTTTCTCATGCCAAACGATCCCGAAACTCGATTTTTATGCCTCCAATGGATTCCTTATGAAACTTTAGTCAAATTAGGCTTTTGAATCACTCAATTTGACCTAATAATGAAGGAGATATGTAGGTTTTAATATTTGCAAATAGTGCAGATTTTTAAATACGCCGTCAGTAGCAATTTCGTAATTAATCTGAAAAATCTAGCAACCTAATTCTTAGTAAAATTATCATAAAATCCTCATACGATGTCTAAATTCAACGATTCTTTTTGATACGGGTCCGTAATTACGATACGGATCTAATGCTTCAATCAAAAAAGAAATCGGAGCTTATTTGTTCGATATGATATCATTTATGCTTGAAGAAACGACGTCGAAACATAAGAAAAACGAGCGCAACACAACCCAAACCTATCCGAAACTCACCCGAGGCCCTCGGGACCTCGAACAATAATTCCAACAAGTCATATATCACTACTTGAGCTTAGTCGAACCTCCGGAACACCCAAAACAACACCAAAACACCAAATCACCCTTGAATTCAAGCCTAAGAACTTCTAAACTTCCAAAATTCGCCAACGACGCTGAAACCTATCAAACCACGTCCAAATGACCTCAAATTTTGCACACACATTACAAATGACACTACAAACCTACTCCAACTTCCGGAATTCCATTCTGACCCTGATTCCTAATTTTCCACCGCCGACCAAAATTGCCAAATTTCTAACTTTCGCTAATTCAAGCCTAATTCTACCACGGACCTCCAAATTACATTCTGGACACACTCCTAAGTCTAAAATTACCCAATAAGTTTGTTTATTCATAAGTCAACTTCCGGTTGACTTTTCTAACTTAGCTTTCTAACTAAGGGACTAAGTGTTCATTTCACTCCAAAACTACTCCGGACCCAAACCTACCAACTCGATGCAACTCAACATAGTTGAACAACACATAAATAAGAAGAAATGGGGAAACAGGGTTATAACTCTCGGAATGACTGGTCGGGTCATTACAGTCAGCTTTGGAGAGCTATCGATTTCAAAGGAAGACCTTTCTGATATTGATCAACACCGTAGACGCTATGGAGTGCTCCTTTGGGATTATGCTAGGAAAAAGCAAGAGCTTGGTGCAAGTACTAAAAGTGAGGTGACTGGCAGATTAGCAAGAAGAAAAGGTGCACCAACTGTGAAGGAGAGAACACAAGTCCGGAAAAAGAAGAATTAGTCGTCATTTTTAGTAGAAAAATTATAGTTAAAGTGTTTAGTTGTAGCTGAATTGTAGTAAAGTTGTAGACAAATTGTTTATTAAGAACGAGTCAGCTGCAATTTATTTGTAGCAGATTTGTGCTACGGTTGTTTTACCTTTTGTTTTGTTATTTTGTCCAGAATTCTACTACTTAGAATAGAAAATATCTGTGGCTTTTTTTTGGTTGAAAGTTGTTAGTACTTGATCTCGATATTGGTACTATATAAGTTCTTTACCGCATAACTATAATTATGTCTACAACTACTATACAAAAATACATAATCTCTTCAATTTAAATAGTGTTGCTAGGAAAGGCTGAAAATTAACAAATAAATACAGTATTTGAACAAAACAACTACAAACCTATTGTATTAAGAGTTGAAATCTGTTTATCAAACATTCATTATATGAGACAATCTTTATTCAAATTAGCAACACAATTACACCACAACTATAATTCTCCATAATAGAAGACATACAACTTCATATGTCTTAAAGGACAGATTATCATCAACAGTACTCAGTAAAACAAAATCTTTAAACTGTATCAATTTTTGTTTCCTTTTAGGAACATTCCTACAAGATCTTTTGTTATGCCCTTCTAGTCCGCAGTTGCCACACGAAACCTTGTACTTCTTTGCATTTACTTTATCATATGGTTTGTATTTTTATTTTTTAGGTCTCCCTGGCTGCCTTCTCCCAATAGGTGGCATTACAACTTCTTCAACTATATGTTGTGGCACATTCCATTTGCTTTCATCAGGCAGCGGGTCTACTGGTATTTCATAAGTCTGCAGAAGGCTCTCCCTCATGTAATAAGGAGAACAATAGTTTTCATAAGACTCGTTCATGTGCCTCAAAGCCGCCAAAGCATGTGGACAAGGAAGTTCATCAAGCTGGAATTGTCCACAGCTACATCTATTGTTTTGAAGGCAAACAATGAAGCTCTTCACACCATCTATCACAGTATGGATGTAATCTGTTGAAGCCCTCACCTACAATTTCATTACAAACACACAACAAGTTGTCAGCAACAGATACAAAACAAAATAACTATAATTATACAACAACATTTCTACAGTTATTAGTATATATTTAGTTTGATGGAATTAATGATCTGATGTTATTGGCTATAACTTACTCTCATCTTCTATGATAATGTCCTGTTGTACTCCAACTCTTTGTTGTATTTTTTCCCATGGTATGTGAACATACCCTTTATATTCAATAACTTTTCATTAGTCCAACGTTCAAGAAGAGTCCTCATGTACTCTAATAGTTCTACTACGGGAAACTGTCTTGTATCTTTGGTTATTGCATTCAAGGACTCTGCAATGTTTGATGTCATTGTCCATATTCTGTTCACCGTAGCCTGTACCTGAGACCATCTGTGATAGCCAATATCGTATAGGTCTGCTTTAACACGTGTGTCGATCTCTTCAATCTTTGACATTCTTTCATTAAATTCATCATGCGTGCATGATCGTGTCGTGATAAAGTACAATTCGCTTAACTTTGGATGACCCTTCTTGAACTTTGACCTTACATTTGTCCAAATATGCCACATGCAAGCATAATGTGGCATGCCGGTATAAATAATAGATGTTGTTGTAACGACCCGGTCAGTTGTTTCGAGTGTTATAGTCCCATTTCTCCTATTTCTGCTTCTTTTGTGCTTTGCAGCTGTATTATGTCTTGCCGGATTGGTTGGTTCGGGTCCGGAGTGGTTTTGGAGTAAATTGAGACACTTAGTCTCTTAATTGAAAGCTTAAAATGAAAAAGTCGACCGGATATCGACTTGTGGGAAAACGACCTCAGATTTGAATTTTTATAGTTCCGTTAGCTCCGTTAGGTTATTTTGGATGTAGAAGCACGTCCGAAATGTGATTTGGAGGTCCGTAGTAGAATTAAGCTTGAATGTGACGAAAGTTCGAAGGTTCGACTAAGTTCGTATCGAGTTATAAGACTTGTTGGTATAATTGGTTGAGGTCCCGGAGGCCTCGGGGTGATTTTGAGTGGTTAACAGCTTGATGGGAGTTGAGGAATTACAGCTGAAGCTGTTGCTACTAGTGTAACTGCACCTGCGGAGTGGGAACCGCAGGTGCGAGCTCGGAGAAGCGAAGTAGGAGCCGCAGATGTGACTAAGGAGGATCTGGGCAGAGGACGCAAGTGCGATGGCATTCCCGCACCTGCGATGGTCACAAAAGCGGATTTAGGGGCGCAGGTGCGAGTTTGGACCGCAGGTGCGATGTAGTTCCCGCACCCGCGTTGAGCGCAGATGCGGTCACTTGATCGCAGGAGCGAAGGCAGTGTTTAGTGATTTTTTTGCAGAATTGGGGCTTTGCCCGTAGATGCGGCACCGCAGATGCGGAAATGGAGTCGCAGGTGCGAGAAGTATGGGCAGAACCTATAAATAGAAGACTTTGAGATTTTTCACCATTTTTATCATTTTTTAGCTCGGATTTTGGGGATTTTGAGAGAGATTTTGGAGTAATCGCTGAGGTAAGTTCCTTGTGCCTATTTATATTCAATAATGGTGTTTTCCCACTGATTTCTATACCTAGTTAGTGAGTGTTTGAGGTGAGATTTGGGAGATTAGGGTTTGGGAATTGGAGAGTGAATTTTGGAGTTTTGGAGGGGCAATTGAGGTCAGATTTTGATAAATTTGGTAAGGTTAGACTCGTGAGTGAATGGATTTTCGGGTTTTGTGACTTTCGTCGGGTGTCAAGACGTGGGCCCGGGGGGCCGGGTTGAGCCGATTTCGAATTTTGGACTATATTTTAGTAGTTTTCTTGTGGAATTGATCCTTTTAGCCAATGTTGATTATCTTGTACTGTTTGTGGCTATATTCGGGGCATTTGGAGGCCGATTCGAGAGGCAAAGGCATTTCGGAGTAGGATTTCTGCACGGTTGAGGTAAGAAACAGTCTTAAATCTGGTTTTGAGGGTATGAAATCTCGATAATTGGTATGATGTGAATATTTGGAGGTGACGCACATGCTAAGTGATGGGCGTGTGAGCGTGCACCGTGAGGGATTGTGACTTGGTCCGTCCCGTGAGACTGTAAAGTCGAATAGCAATTGTTATTACTTATTTTTCCTTGTCTTTGAGTAATTGACTGCCGTTCATATTAGAAACCATGCTTAAGCCATATGATATCACTGTTGGGACCCGCAGCGGTCGTATACTTGTTGAATTGACTGCTAATTGTTGTCTTGTACTCAGTCAAAGTCTTACTTGTCTGTTATATCTCTGTTCCCTCTCATTTCTTGTTGATACTTGTTTTATTCTCTGTTTAGGATAATTATTATGATATTCTGTGAGACCGAGGGGATGGAGAGGTCAGTGACTGAGATAGGGCCTGAGTGCCGAGGTGCGAGCTGTGAGGTATATGGATCGGGTTATATATATAGCCCGAAGGCTTGTTGCGGCGTGCAACCCGATCCAATATTGTTGCGGCGTGCAACCCGATCCAATATAATATATATNTTTTTGAAATGATTTGTATTTTTATAGATCATCAATGCTTCTCAGTTCCTTATTTAATTATGTTACTAGATGAGTTGGTTATACTCATGCTACACCCTGCACTTCATGTGTAGATCCAAGTGTGTACGGTTCTGGCGGATGCTGAGTTCGTGCGCGAGCTGATTATCGAAGACTTACGAGGTAGTTGCCGGCATCCGCAGTCCTTGTTTCTCCTTTCTTATTATGTTTTCTCTCTTGTATTGGCATTTGGCACAGACTGTAGTAGACGTTATTTCTAGATTGGTTGTTAGATGCTCATGACTTAGTGACACCTCGATGTCGGGCTATCATTCCGCACTTGTATTTTGGGTTTTTACCCCGTTATTATGTAAACCTTCAGTTAGTTAAATTACTTTAGCTCAGTTCTGTTATATATTGAAAGCATATTGAGAGTGTCGGCTTGCCTAGTTCCACGATAGGTGCCATCATGACTGGTTAGGTATTTGGGTCGTGACAAGTTGGTATCAGGGCCTAGGTTACATAGGTCTCACGAGTCATGAGCAGGTTTAGTAGAGTCTTGTGGATCGGTACGGAGACGTCTATACTTATCTTCGTGAATCTGTTAATTCTAGTAACTAAACATCTGTTGTTTCATTCTTTCACAGATGGTGAGGACTCGTACTACTGGGCAGGATGGACAGCCACCAGTACCACCAGCCAAGGCTGCGAGAGGCCGAGGTCATGGTAGAGGCCGCGGTAGGGGCAGAGGTGCAGCCCGCGCAGCAGTTGGGGCAGTACCTGTAGATCCACCAGTTGCCCCAGATCAGGACCATATTCCAGTTGTTTATGCACCAGCTCAGACACCACATGTGCCCATCGTGATCCTTGGCCTTCAGGAGGCCTTAGCTCAGATTCTGACCGTGTGCACTGGCCTTGCTCAGGCAGTCTCTATTTCGATAGCAGCAACCACTTCTCAGGCCGGGGGAGGCACTCAGACTCCTGTCGCCGGCACACCTAAGCAGGTAGTACAGGGACTCCAGACACCGGGGGCACCACCAGCCCAGCCAGTTGCAGCTGCTCAGGACTTTGTGGTTCCTGCTATGCCTGAGGATGAGCAATGTAGATTGGAGAGGTTTGGGAGACTTCATCCTCCATCTTTCAGTGGTGCAAAGGGAGAGGATGCACAGAGTTTCTTGGACAGGTGTCAGAGGATACTCCGTACAGTAGGTATTCTGGAGACCAGTGGGGTCT